AACACATACATTGTCATGGCATAGGATACATTTACATAATTTTTAAGGTATAGTAGACAAGAGTGTCAGGTTAGTCAAACATGTCCAACTGTTTGGTAGAATATGAGCTACACAGTCGAACAAGGCAACAATGTCTAAATACAGTAGAAATCAAACACAAATCTCAGAGATGAGTAGGACTAGCTGGACATGTAGATTGTAGGTAAATATGAAAACTCAGAAAGCATGTTATAGGCTAATTGTGGAGAGAAACATGACCAATAGTATTAATGTTTAACGTGCTAGACAAGGATTCAAAAGAGTAGACCACTGGAATTAAACATAACTACAGTCATAAATATCAAACATTATCAAAAGAAATCATAACTATTTGCAGGATTTAAAAGATAGTTAAAACAAGATGGCGTCCGCCTCTGCTTATAACAACATAATGCAGAACAAAAAACAGGTCGCAAGAGTATTCTGAGAATGGACAGCAACTGCCCTTCGAGGGGGTCCCCGCTCAGAACTCAAGCTGGTTTTAGCTCATCTTGTGCCATAACTACAGAGAGGACATATCTGAAGCATATCAGACTGGTCCCACCCGTACGGGCAGTCCAGATCCGAAATGCCAGCAAGTTCTCTCTGCACGAGAGAGACACAGCAACCCCAGACGATCGTTTCAGCCTTGTTAGGCATCATCAGTGAGGCATAGCTGATATCTCTCTAGGCACTGTGAGCAAGGGGTCCACGTCTGGATTAACCTTTAAACTTATGGAGAACAAAAAACAGGTCACAAGAGTATTCTGAGAACGGACAACAACTGAAATTGCCTGCCCTTCAGTGGGTCCCCGTTCATAACTCAAGCTGGTTTTAGCTCATCTTGTGCCATTACAGAGAGAACATATCTGAAGCATATCAGACTGGTCCCACAACATAATGCAGGCGATGGTTCTGAAGCTAACATCACCCCTGGGCAGGGCCGGACTGGGAAAAAAATTAGGCCCGGGCATTTTTCAATTAGAGCGGTGCCAGAGAGGGTGTGTTTTGTCATCACTAATGACAAGCACACCCCCTCTCAAAGTGAGCATGTTGGTTCAATGCGCAGAACCCCGCTGAAGAGCTCTGGCATTAGAAAAAGGCCCTGTATTTGTTCTGCGCAGCGCAAGCAAATGTAATAACATGCTTGCACTGTGTTTGCTTTTAAATTGTCTCTGCTGTCTTCACAAGTGGGATACCATTGGACAAAAGGGCCAGGAAAGTGTATGGTGCATGTGTTTGGCGCCTCCTTGTGGGATTGCCTGTGTGTAGAGTGTGGTGTGGTATTGTGTAAATAGGTGTAATATGTGTGGTGTAATATGTGTGGCTATGGGCTGTAGAGAATGCGTGTATAGGGGCATAGTGTTATAGGGGATGTAGCGAGTGTGTGCATACGGGCAGTAGTGTGTGTGTATAGGTGATGTAGTGTGTGTAGGGGTTGTAGAGAGGGTGTGTTTAGAGAATGTTGTATGTGTTTCCTTACAAGGAATGTAGTGTGTGTGTAGGTGGTGCACTGTGTGTGTGTAAGAGATCTAGTGTGTAAAGGACCCAGAGTGTGTATAGAAGATGTGTGTGTGTGTGTGCAGAGGATTAAGAGTGCATATAGGGTAAGGGATCTAGCGTGTATCTGGAGCGTAATGTGTGTAGTGGTGCAGTGTGAGGGGTGCTGTAGTGTGTGTGTGTGTATATATATATATATATATATATGTATATATGTATGCTATGTGTGTCTCTCGGTGTGCTGAGTGTGTCTGGGGGTGCTGTGTGTGTGTGTCTGGGGGTGCTGTGTGTGTGTGTGTCTGGGGTGCTGTGTGTATCTGGGGATGCTGTGTGTGTGTGTGTGTCTGGGGTGCTGTGTGTGAGTTGGCTGTGTGTATCTGGGGGTGCAGTGTGTGAGTGTGTCTGGGGGTGCTGTGTGTGTGTCTGTGGGTGCTGTGTGTGTGTCTGGGGGTGCTGTGTGTGAGTTGGCTGTGTGTGTCTGGGGTATGTGTGTGTGTCTGGGGGTGCTGTTTGGGAATTAATTTTTAATATATATTTTCTTTTTATTAATAATTTTTTTAAAGTTATGTCCCCCCCCCTCCCTTCTTACCTTTAGCTTGGGATGGGGAGGGAGCCGTTCTGCCTGGGAGGGGGAGCCTTGAGGGGGGACCATGCTGCATTCCCTGGTGGTCCAGTGGTGAGAGTGAACTCTAACCTGCAGGTTAGAGTTCACTCTCGTGAGATCTGAGCGTTGCCGCGGCAACGCTCAGAATCTCGTGAGAGGACCCGGCGGAGCTGCTGGCTAGAGCTCCGCCGGGTCCTCCCTCACCCAGCAGGTGGCCGCATCTCCCTGTCTGTGGGCCGGTCTTTGATCTCCCCACCGGCCCATGGAGACACACAGCAGGGCCGGCGCTCGGATAGTGCCGGCCCTGCAGGGGCCGGCCGGGGAGATCCTGTGATCTCCCTGCCGGCCTCGGCCCCACGGCCATCGCGGCCCACCGGGCATTTGCCCGGTATGCCCGATGGCCAGTCCGGGCCTGCCCCTGGGACTCAGAGACTCTTGATTAATTTATTCTTCTCTTTCCAGGGGCAGTACAAGGGACCAGGAAGAGGTTGTCACTTTTGGAAGTTGTGTCTCCGCACCTGAGAGTGCTGCAGAGAAGTAAGGCCGCTAGTGACTCTTGGTCCAGGCTGGCTGGTGAGCAGACAAGCAGGTGTCCCAGAGAGCTTGTTGCCTGAAGTGGGCTTTCCCATCGTCGGCTTTTTGTCTTCTGCAACTCCCTCTCGACTCCCTGTTGAGGTCAGCTTTCCCACATTCCTGCAACCACTTCCAGAAGCACCTGAATATTTTCTCCAGCAGCAGTAGGCAGTAGTCAGCAGAGCTGCAGTGAACTTCGTGGGATAGGCTCAGCTCCAGCTTGCTCGGAGTATGGGGATCCGCCATTTTGTGTCGTTGAAGTTCGCCCTCCTAATGTCTTGGGACAAGAGATAGGTGCAGCTGAGGCAGTCAGTAGCTGTCCACTGGGGACGGGGATAACCCTCACTGGTCTAATGGGGGCGGTAAGAGTTCAGCAATACCGTACAGTAAGCGTAGGAGCAAGAAGAATGATCACCTCTCCCCAGCTCCATCTCTAGTAAGCCGCAGCAAGGTGTTTTGGCCTCCCGGTGGCTTAATGACTCGAAGTGAGGTCTCAACCGAATTGCCCATGCACCCCTTACGTGGGTAGTGCACTTTGGTGAGTATTGTGGCTGGAGAACTAGTAAACTCCCCAATAGTAATGATTCAGACAGGGGCTTGTGCTGCACACGTCTGAACAGAAAGGTCAGGCTTCACTCCCAACTCCCATTTCTATGTCTCTCCTTTTATCATTATTATTAAAGGGACACTACAGTGTCAGGAAAACCACTTGGTTTTCCAGACACTACAGTACCCTGAGGGTGCCCCCACCCTCAGGGTCCCCCTCCCGCGGCGCTGATGGGGTTAAAACTCCTTCAGCTACTCACCCTTACCTCTCCTCCCCCGCCGACATCAGCATCCTTGTCTGACATCACCGGCGCTGAATGCACATGCACCTAATTTTCAATGCTTTACTATGGACGCTCTGCGTGATTGAGGCATAATATGCCTCAATCATTGCCGAAGCGCCTCTAGTGGCTGTACGGAAGACAGCCACTAGAGGCTGGCTTAACCCCAGATGTAAACATAGCAGTTTCTCGGAAACTGCTATGTTTACATTAGGCAGGGTTAACCCTAGAGGGACCGGACACCCAGACCACTTCATTGAGTTGAAGTGGTCTGGATGACTATAGTGTCCCTTTAACATCTATACAAGTGCCAGGATTTGAGGTAGCTGGATATATCTATTGTAAGCTTTCCTAAGGACTCTTACTGGTGAGGTGGTCTGAAAGGGGTTTGAACTTGGAATTCTCAGTACTAAGGCAGTGACCACTGCTCTAATAAGATATTTTTTAACAGAGCCCTTAATCCTCCACAGATTCCTTTCCAACACCATCTATACATTTTCAAAATCCTCTTCTTTTTTTTTTTTTGAAAATATGTTTATTCAGTTAATTGGAGAGTCAGCAGATAGAACAGTTTGAAGACTCGCAGGTCTAGGTATGCATACATTGTAAGTGTAACAGGGGTAGGCAAAACAAACAAACAAAAAATTAAATAATTAAATAGATCCACCACCTACCAAGCTTGCAGGCCTATGAGTCAGCTTGTTTTACGAAATGAGTGGACACGCAGGTCCGCAATGACTATCCAAGGTGTATATCTAGTTACTCTTACCCCATAGTGAGAGACAAGCATATCCAATTCTTGTATGACAGTACAGTTCTATGTGTAACAATTACGGACGGGAGCTTTGTTTCATTTATAACAGGTACTCACTACTCAGAGCACTGGTATTCCCTTGATTGTTACCTATGGCTGAGCTCGTGTAGCGTTCGGGAGTCCCTTCACCCAGTTGTGGTAGCCAGATACTCGTGTCTGGCCCCAGTGTGGTACTTATTGTGGTGTTATTTAGCCTGAGTGTTACCCTAGTGTATGAGGAAGATATGGTTGGCAGCTATCCAGTGTTCTTTATTCACAGGTGTGTCATAATCCTGGCTACTCGTCAGGTATCTGAGCCACAGTGTGTACCGTGTCTCCCGGGCCCGTTCAAATCTCTGTGCATTTATTAGTATCCCTCTATTAATGTACGTTGTGCCTCCCTGGAATCCTTGTGAAATGTTGTGTTGGCTATCTATCCCACAATCAGTCCACTCGACCCCGACTCCCAATCCCCTCGGTCCCGGTGCGCAAGGATAAGGGGTAAGGAAGAGGTGAGGAGCAGTGGCGGTCGGGCCACTTAGGGTGTGGCAAAATCCTCTTCTTATATCACTAACCTCAGTGCTCTAACAAATCCCTCTTTAGTCAACATATCGTCTATATTCCTAAAAAAGTGGTTCCTTTTATATAACCCCTATCATTAATTTACACTTCCCATCTGGTTTGTGGAGTGCCATTTTCTTACTTCATTCAGCTCGCTTCCTCAAAACATTTCTACCACTTTACTACCACATTTGGCTGCAGAGGAGCTTATAATAGCTCAAATGTTCCATTCATTCACTCATCCACCCAAACATTCATGGCGACTCGTGTCCTTCACATATAGCTATATGGTTATTACTCCAACCACCAAGTGTGTAATACTACCCCTTTCACTTTTTCAATAACCTTAATTTTACGTTTCTCTAACGGTTATGGAAACCCATTCTTTATATTAAATATTCTGGTGTTATTTTACTACATCTCGATTTTAACAAGCCTCTATATATCTCACAACCAACCCTGCGTTGTCTATAATATTCCTGATGAACTCTTTAGTACTGGAAGTTATATATCAAGAACAAGTCTAAAAGTGGAGCAATCAATAAGGACATTCCCATTGGTCGCCATGATGATTGCTCCACATTTAAAACTTTTATGCAGAAAAGCTCTTTATATAAAACCGTATTGTTTCCCAAGTGTATATTTTGTCTCCATAAACCATTCTCTCTATAGGATTTGTTGGTCTGTATCTATCTTCTGGCTTCCTGAACATAATTTGATTTCTATCTTGTGTTTATAAACTGGGAAGTTCTGTAATTTTGCATGAGACTAAATGAGCGTACAAATAAGCCTTGCAACTAAATCCCGTGGTTCTCAGCTAGTGGGAGTGCTGTAGTAATAAGAGTAATGAAGGATTAATGCACATTACACAGGCCATTAAGCTGCTGAAGGGACAAGATAACATAAGTAAAAATTCTCAGCTGGAGGCTGACACAGCTCAGTGTGAACCTATCTCATCCCAGCCTAGAGCAAAAAGCTTCACTGGGGCGTGAAGGAGGGGTCCTGCCATGCAAATAATTGTTAGTAATACAGATACCTGGCAATTTCCATCATATGCATCACACAAAAACAGCAGAGACAGAGGAGTAACGGGGACATGCACATTAACTCTTTCTCGGCAAAATAAATGAAAAAAGCAAAACAAACAAAACTATATTTAACCTGCAGAACTTACACTCTGATCAGAGCATTAGTCCACATATGTGTACACTGGCCTGTTAGGCTTGTAAGGTTCCATGCACGCACATTTATTTATTTTTATTTATTACTGGTATTTATCAAGCACCAACATATTCCGCAGCGTTGTACAATTGGGAAAAAGTCAATACAATAAGACCAGACCAATACAACAGGTAGAGGGCCCTGCCCGTGAGCTTACAACACGGGACAAAACACTCTGTTAGTGAAATTCGCTAAGGAAGGTATTGTTAGGAATTCAAAGTATATTCTGCATTTGAGGCCGAAATAGCAAAACTTAAAGGACCACTATAGGCACCCAGACCACTTCAGCTTAATGAAGTGGTCTGGGTGCCAGGTCCACCTAGGATTAACCCTTTCTGCTGTAAACATAGCAGTTTCAGAGAAACTGCTATGTTTACTTTAGGGTTAATCCAGCCTCTAGTGGCTGTCTCACTGACAGCCGCTAGAGGCGCTTCTGCGCTTCTCACTGTGATTTTCACAGTGAGAAGACGCCAGCGTCCATAGGAAAGCATTGAGAATGCTTTCCTATGAGACTGGCTGAATGTCCGCGCATGCGCATTCAGCCAATGACGGGGAAAGGAGGAGGAGAGTGTTCAGCACCGAGGGAGCCCGGCGCTGGAGAAAGGCAAGTGTTTAACCCCTTCCTCTCCATCCAGCCCGGCGGAGTGGGACCCTGAGGGTGGGGGCACCCTTAGGGCACCATAGTGCCAGGAAAACGAGTATGTTTTCCTGGCACTATAGTGGTCCTTTAAAAAGAAGAATTGTTCAATTTTTGCTATTTAAAGTTTGAAATTCACGTTGGATTCCAGACTGCCAGGAGCCTAAAAAGAGGACCACAATTAACCTATTAAGTGCCACAATGTAGACCAGAGTATTTTACTTTTAGCAGGCTCTGATTAATGGTGGCTAAGCAACAAAGTATAATATTACATATATTCAGATATGCCATATCCTGGAAATAGTATTTTTCTAAGAGTGGTATTGTGTTACTCAATTCTAGTACACTCTACTCCCCCTCTCTCCTTTTAAAGTTCTTTCTTGTTTTTCTAAACCTATTTTTCTTCCTCCCACATTTGAACCTTCCCTCCTGCCTCTCCTCTATCCCAGTATCAAGAATGATGTACTCCTATGGGTGAAAAACCCTAATTATGTTTAAATTAAAGGGACACTTCGGTCACCATAACAACATCCTCTAAATTAAGTTGTTATGGTGCCAGGAAGTCTCCTGGCGCACTTTTACCTTAGGGGGTTAAACCGTTCTTGAGGTTGAAGGTATGTGGTGCTTACACCAGTCTTGTTAATCAATTTTTAAAGGCCAAAAGTAATGACACATATTATAAGGGTATGAGCGTAGTCAGGGATGTCTAGGTCTTACTTTATACTCTAGTTGAAAATCACAAAATTACATTACTGAGTTTTATTGCTCTGTTATATATTAATGAGAGAGAAAAAAAAGCGGAGAGAAAAAATAAAAAAAGAGGCAAAAGTAGGCACTGTTACTCCTAAATGGCATAACATTTTGGTATTGTATTCAGAATTATAGTAGCTTAGTACAGTAGGTCATCAGTGACTGAAAGACAATAAATACAGCATGTCTAGAATATAACTAATGGTTGAAAAATCAAACATAATGCAAGCAAAATAGCTGAAGAACTTATTTAAAATGTCACAGGTTGCATTCAAATTTTGATAATGTAGGCAACCGAATAGAGTTAAGGGAGTCTGGGAGTCTGTTACCCTCCCCCTTGGCATTTCCCTGCTGTAAAAATCCAGACACCCACGTAACTTCACGGATAGTTTTCCCAATTCTAAATAATTCTAAAAGAAATAATAAATATCCATATAAAAGAAAACACAGATCTGGACAAAAAAAAAAAATTAACTATGCCTGTCCCAGTTCAACAAACTTTTCTGTTCCTCGTAGTGGAAGCAAGACTGAGATAAAAGTAAATATTAGATGAATTTGGTGAAGGACAGTGAACAGGCATATTATAACAAATGGGGCAAGTGGATAAGGAGTCTGCCGTGCATTGCATATATGTTTGTCTTTTCGTTAAAGGAACACTACTTCAATATAAATCTGTATGGTGTTCCTTTCTCTTCTCTTTTTCCAGCACCAAGCCTCACCTCTCCACCTCCAGTAACGTCACAAAGGAGGCATGGAGGAGCATTGGGGACATGCGCTGCGAGTGCCACATGCATTCCAATGTCCCCATAGGAATGCATCAAATCAATGCTTTACTATTTGGTTTCTGCGTCACATGAGTGAGTTTTACTCTGTCCATGACGTGGAAGGACCAGTGGCTATCATACAGTGTCACGGAAGCACTTCTAGTGGCCGTCATACTGACTTAACCTAACACTTTCTCAAAAATGACATTTCAGAGTTAAAGGACCACTATAGTGCAAGGAAAACATAATCGTTTTCCTGGCACTATAGTGCCCTGAGGGGGCTCTGGGGAGAGGAAAGGGGTTAAAACTTACCTTTCTCCAGCGCCGGGCGGGGAGCTCTCCGCCTCCTCTCCTCCCATTCGGCTGAATGCGCACACGCGGCAAGAGCTGTGCGCGCATTCAGCCGGTCTCATAGGAAAGCATTTATTTTCACAGTGAGAAGCACGCAAGCGCCTCTAGCAGCTGTCAATGAGACAGCCACTAGAGGCTTTAGAGGCTGGATTAACCCATTTATAAACATAGCAGTTTCTCTGAAACTGCTATGTTTATAAAAAAAAATGGGTTAACCTTAGCTGGACCTGGCACCCAGACCACTTCATTAAGCATCTATTGATTTGAAGTAGGTATGGTACCTGGAGTCTGTATGTGCAGTGTTTTGCTTTAAAATGCTGCACATTCAGAAATTAGCCCCTTAGCTGCTGGAGGTGGATTTACAAAGCACCATGCTGGCTATTGTCAATTCTGTGCAAAATTGGCGGAGCGGCAACCCCCTCTCTGTGACACTCCTCTCCCTGCCTCAGTACATCCTTCCTGACCTCTACCTCTCTTGCAAAGGGTATTGATGTGAGCCAAGGAAGATTTGTGGGTGCACGGAGAACTTGGTGATGGAACGTAAATTTTATCTTTTGTTTGAATATTTTTATAGTCGTGATGGGGCAGAAAGCTACTGTAACCAAAACCACCGTTTCATAAAAACCCTGGATTTTGGTTGGAGTGACTCTTTAATAGACACAATGTGTGTACAACTTATATCATGTTGTAGGATGAGTTACATCGAGATATAAATGCAAAGTACAGCAACCTACTGTAATACACACCGGGTTTGTCTCTATAGCATTCGGGGGAACAAGAGCTGCCATACTCAAATTAGGCCGCATGTAAGTTTATACCCAGATAGGGCATAACATGCCCAGGGGTTAGACAAGGGCCTTGGAACCATTCATTTGCTTGGCCCCAATAACTACCCTCATGTGAAGAATGAAGAGGGACCACAATCTGGTAATGGCCTAGAGCCATTTGAGATCCTTATCTTTTTCTCCCCCCATCCCCCCCAGAGCAGCAGGTGTTCCTACGACCGCACAGGGCAGTGCATTTCTCCACATGCACACAAGGCAACATCTGTCCCCACACCCAATCAGAGTAGTGCATTTCCCCACATCAACACAGGGCAACATGTGCCCCACACAGAGCAGCATGTGCCCCACACAGAGCAGCATGTGCCCCACACATCCACGTAGGGCAGCATACGTACCCACACCCAGGCAGGGCAGAACATTTGCTCCTGCATTACATATTGAAAACTTGGAACAGGTGAATAGTGGAAGCTTAAGAAAAATAAATCAGTTTTTTTTTTCTCCTTTGATTTAATCTGCTTGAAAGAAATGTAGTATTTGGCACCATTACAAGAATAACAGTGTGTAAAAGTACAATTAACTTCTGCTCTTTTCTCATTCTTTCTGTCTTTTTAGAGGGAATTTCTTGGTGTGACATGCAGGCTCTATCTGCAGTAACTATTTGGGGTTTATTCATTGAACCAGAAAGCAGGGAAATTTGGCAAATGAATTGCAAATCTTACTACAAAATAGCCATCTGAAAAATCTGTGCAGTTAGGGCAATTTTCCCAATTTGTCTGGCTAAGGGCCATTTCTGCTTTAATATAAAACCATGATAATA